TGTGCGGGGAGGACTCCCCACAGGAGCCATGGCCTCCGCCAGCCCTTCTGCCCGGGAGGAAGCCGCCCTCCGCCTCTCGCCCGGATCTCAGGCAGGTTAGTTCCTCCCGAGTGTCCCGGGTCCTTTCAGGCTGCTCCCTGCGCTGGGCTCAGAGGGAGCGTCCGAGGGAGTCCATGCCGGGCCCTTTACAGGAGCTGCTGGAGCTCCCACGGCCTCCGAGACCCTCAGCCACAGTCCTGCTGGTTTCACAGCCCGGAGTTGTGGGGATGTCTCTTCCCGGTCCTGGAGCCCTGCTGTGGGGCTGGGACCCCTCGCTCCTCCGGGAAACCTCCTCCGCTGAGATTCCCTCTCGGGTTTACTCTGCGGCACCAGGTGAGGGCCCGCGGCCACGTCTCTGCAATTCAGCCCCAATCAGCCCGAGTCTCTGCCCCTCCTCCTGCTCTCGGTCTTCTTCAGCTCCCTGGTTGCAGGGCTTCTGTTCAGCTGGATTTTAGGAGGTTCTGATAATGGTGGTTCTGTATTTTAGTTGTAATTTTGATGTGGTTGCGGGAGGCGGCGGGTGCAGCTGGTACCTACGCCACCAGCTTGTTTCTTTCTCACTAAGATGTATTTAACTTATTATTTTCCAAAGCATGGCTCAGGGCCCTGAAAATATTCTAGAAAACTCATCATGTTCTAAGTAGCTAATACCAAAATGATTTAAAAAAAACATATGTGTTGCCCAGTTGGCCTGGCTCAGTGGTTGAGCATCGCCCTATGATCCAGGAGGTGGAGGTTCGATTCCAGGTCAGGGCACATGCCTGGGTTGTGGGCTCGATGGTCCCCAGTAAGGGGCGTGCAGGAGGCAGCAGATGAATGACTCTCTCTTTGATGTTTCTCTCTCTCTCTCCCTCTCCCTTCCTCTCTCTGAAATCAATAGACATATTTTTGAAAAACAAGAAAAGACAAACACCACAAAAAAATGTTTATATGTCTGAAAATTGATGCAGATTTTCTGTATATGGGGCCAATATAAAGCTTCCTCTTTAAATAAATTTAACTTTAATAAAATAATAAAATTTAAATTAAAAATATTAAGTACATAAATATGACAAATAATGACTGATGATTGGAAAACAGTTATTTAACTCATAGTGGACCCAAAATCGTATGAGGACTGAAACAGATTATGAACATTTCTCTCCCTCTCTTGGAATCTATCAGCAACGCTCTTTTGCCCTTAGGATAAAGTCTAAAATTCTTTACAGTGTGATCTTGCCATTCCTTCCCAGACTCATTTCCTGCTAGTGCCCCTCTACCACTTGCCATTTCCTAAATAACCATGTTCTTTCTCAGCCCATGCACTTGCATGCCTCCCACCACCTCTCCCCAGTGGGAGGCTGCTGCTCAAGCTTCAACCCCCAATCAAGAGTAACTCTCCTGGAGATAAGTTGTCAGGCGTCACTACATGCTCCCCGAGCAGTGAGCTCAGACCTCCATCATCGTGTGTACCCTTGTATAGTAATTATGTGATGTGTTTAGTGTTTAGGTGTCTCCTTTTCTGGAGTTGTGGAGAGCAGTCTTTTTGCCAAGACATATACCTGGTCCTGGACACACCGGGTGGAATAAACACGGGCCCTTTCTCTCAGGGAGACTCAGTCTCAGAATGCAGGCCCTGAGTAGTAAGCCAGAGTTTATGCACTCCAGGGCTCTGACTCACTTATAGGGAGCAGGAGGGCCCCTCCGGGCCAACCAGAGCTTTGGAGATTATGGAGGATTCAGTCAACTAAAGGGAAGTATCATTTTAAGGACATTTGGAGCAAAGCATGTATATGGGAAGTCAGGCCAAGGGGAAGGGGCTGATGTTGGATATTGGGCTCCAGTCTGTGGCAGGTGGCCAGCAGTAGGGTGCTCTTTGTCAGTGATGAGTGATACGAACACATTAGTATACATTTTTTTAAAAATAGCAACTCAGTGTGAAAGGTCTTATAAATGTAAGCAAACTCTATCATAATCACTGTTGTATCACTAGGAGCTGGGACAGAGTAAGAGCTCATTAAGTGATGCTGAATGATTGTCACTGTGCCGATAGTCGTGTAGCCCTGAGCCATCTCGTGGTCCACGGCTTTCTAACTTTCAGCTAAGGGTACAAGGAGCATCTCTCACCACTGCAGGTAAAAGAAAAGAGAGAAACAACAGCAACAAAGAAATAATGATAAGAGCCTGTTAGCCATATAGATTACAATGTTCTTTCTCATATATCATTTCATATGACCATCCAAAGGCTTCTCTGGCTAGGTTTGCATAGCTCCTGTTTTCCATTTTACAGATGAGAAATCTGAGCTTCCGGACTTTGCGTTTTGGTCTGTAACAGAGCTAGTCAGTGAGAGGACTGAAAATGTATCTAAAGTAGTCTGATTTGAGTTTCAGGTTCTGATTGAAGAATTTCCCTTGCACTTTGCTTGCTGACTTGTAGGGTAAGGGATCCACCACTCCAAGTCTCTGGTGTGGTTCTTGTGGCTCAAGAAGGAATGTCCAGTAGGTTGGCCAGCAGCCCAAGGTGGGGGCAGAACTGGCTGGAGAGGCAGCTACAAGAGGGAAGTAAGTCAAGGCCAAGTGGTGGGACAGACAAGGTTAAACAATCTATCAGCTGATCTCCTTTAAAAGGAAGGTTAGAACATGGGATAAAATTCCGAGACAGAATTCTGCAGAACACTGTAATAACATACAAAGAACAGAAATTAGAGTGGAGGTGTGGACATCCCATGAGGAGGTGATAGGGAGAAGGTGCGGAGTTATAACTAAGACCTTGGCCAAGCCACAAGGAAGACGGGTGAGAACAAGCGGACCTGGTGTTTTCATAAAAATGTCAGTATGGCTCAATATGTGCCAGTAAGACTATAGATGGAACAAAAAGGAAACATCAAAGAAAAGAAATAAGCAATTTGTGTTAAGAATAATTAATAATTATAATAATCCAATCACAAATGATTCAAGTAGGAAACAGAGGGGCTAATGGGGCTGTACAGGGAATTCTTTGTTTTGTTCAGATGTAAAAACAAATACCGAAGGAGGAGCATCTCAGTGTGAACCTGCACGCAGTGTCAGTGAGCCCAAGAGAACTGAGGTATGAAAGCTGAGGACCCTAAAAGGACTTTTATTTTATTTATTTATTTTTTTTAGCCTCACCCGAGGATGTTTTTCCACTGATTTCTTAGAGAGAGTAGAGGGGAGAGAGAAGGCGGGGGAGAGGAACATCGATGTGAGAGAGACACATCAATTGGTTGCTTCCCGCACGTGCCCCGACCGGGGCCTGGATCGAGTGTGCAAGGTACATGCCCTTGACTGGGAATTGAATCCACGACCCCTTCTGTGAGCTGGCTGATGACACTAACCGCTGAGCAAAACTGGCCAGGGCCGAGGATATTTTTTTAATTGATTTTAGAGAGAGAGGAGGGAGGGGGAGAGAAAGAGAGAGAGAGAGGAATCTATGTGAAAGAGAAACGTTGATTGGTTGCCTCCTATATTCGCCCCACCAGGGATCGAACCCACAACCTATGCAGGTGCCCTGATTGGGAATCAAACCCACAACCTTTAGGCGTGTGGGACGACGCTCCGACCAGCTGAGCCACCTGAAAGGGCTTTTAAAGGTATGTGCGGAGCAAGGAGAGGAACACAACAAAGGGCTCAGCCGCCCGGGGCAGTCATGATATTTCACTCTGATGTCACCAACCCGTTGCGCTACCGGCAGTCCTGCCACTGCAGGGCACGCGGTGCACACTGTGTTACTCTGTGTGAAGCGTGCTCCCTGGGGTTGGGCAACACGGGCGTTCTTGCCCGGGCTTTGGTACCTGGTCTCGGAGGACTGCCAGCATCTATATCTCAAGACCCGTCTTCCCTGGTAGACTTGATGTTTCCATGTCCGTTTAGTGACTCATTGTGTCCAGCTCTGTACGTGTCACCTCTTCTCACTCCTAATTGAATTAGCTGCTACTTTCTCCAACTTGGTAAATACTATGAATTTAGTTTGAGCCATAAAGTCCCAAAATGTGATAGTCATCTCTTTCACACCCTCTAGTTAAAGCATTTTATCTTTTATTTTATTCCTTGAAAATATCTCTAGGGTCCACCATCTTCTTTCTACTCCCAATGATAAGTCCCCGGATCAGGACTTACACGTGTAAACTTCAAGCCCATCAACAGAGACGCGGTAACACAGCTACAGCCCGCATCTGCAGCCTAACCCTAAGGGCCAGGCAAGGCCCCCGCCTCCACGCGCGGAGCAGCTCCCCATGCCCGGGACGCGCCTGCATGCTTCTGCTTCTGTTGTCCAGCTGCACTTTCCTGCCAAGGGAGGCTGCACGGTCCCTTGCAGTCAACTGACAGCCTTCTACTTATACATAAATTCTCTACTAATACTTATCTTTTAATGGGAAAAGGTATGTTATAGAGATTATAGACTGATGAGCTAAATGTCAATCCCTAGCCAAAGTCCTGAATGAATCACTACACAGAGGGTTTGTGAACGCTTAGAAAAGAAAAGGTGGCTGCTATCAGCCGCTTGCTTTCATTACCTTCCAGGATAAAATGGTTAGACCAAAGGCTTAGAGGAATACAGCAGACGCACTATATCTTAACTGTAGGAAGTCGTTCAGAAAATACTCTCACGATCTCCTTTTTAAACAAAATGGGCACGTGTGGCCACGGGATTCAACACTGAGCGCCTTCTCTCGTTAGCGGAGCAGCAGTGCCCTGCCCTCCCCCCCACCGAGCTGCGGGTTGATGGGCCGCAGGTGACCTGAGGGCAGCTCAAGGTCAGCAGCTGAGAGCTGTGCTCAGTGCCAGGCAGCTCCGCAGTTTCACTGAGTGCTTCGGCGAGGACCTGCCATGCCTGCCTCTCGTCTACAAGGCCCATAAGTACAGAGGTGACAGTGAACATGCTGCACTTCAAAGTCAGAACTCCAACATTTCCACATGTAAAATGATGGGCTAAAACCGAGAAATTACAGTTTAATCGGAGTGAATGTAAAGTCATAAACGTGGGTTATAAATTCCACCCTATTATCACAAAACTGAGTTGGTCTAATTGCAGTTCTTGTGAAAAAGGCCTACCTGTCAACTTAGAGTGACTCGACCCCACCAGAAGCCGTCCCCAGGCTCACACAAGCCTGACTGGCGTCAGGGGCGGGGCACTGCTCAGAGCAGGAGGCAGTGGCGCTCTGTTCTCAGTGCTGGTGAGACGGCACGTGGGTCGGAGCCTTGAACCCGAGCAAGGAGGTTGCCCCGATTTCGAGAGGTCTGATGTTTAACCATGAGAACTACCAAATGGGCCAGTGTATCGGCCTTGGAAACAGGTTTCAAGAACCGAATCCGAATGATCCCTACCTTTTCCCGACTTGGAATCACACTAGTCTCTGGTCCAGCCTGGTCACCACTCCCAGCAGTTCCCCCTGTCACTAGGCACAGAGCAGCCAACAAGTGCCAGCAGCAGCCAGGGGCCGGCCCGCAGGAAGCGGGAAGGGGAAGCGCAGGTCTGCGTGGGCTCGAAAAGGCTGGCAGCCACTTCAGCACTGTGGCGAGCTGGTGTGGCACATGCGTGAGGTGGTCCTAACCACCAGTGGCAAAGCCACTCACAGCTCATCTGACTGCCGGGAATTCACAGAGTCTTTCTCATTGACTTTGCTGTAATTTTGCCCATGTCAAATATTTTCTCGGCCAATGAACACAAAATGTCCTCTCATTGAAGTTTCTTTATGCCAAGGTTATTTTTTCATTATGTTTTTAGAAATTAAGAAAACAGAAAAATATTAGTAGAATAAATAATAAATGTTTCACTTCAATTCCAACTTCTCAATCATTAAATATTTCAATCAAGAACTCCAAGCCTACATCTTTTTGACACGTCTATTAAAAGTGTTTTGGAAACTTCAGAGACACCAGCGTGTGGCTCTGTTTTAGGGTATTCTAGACACCGCAGGTCGTCCCTGGGGAGCAGCTTCACAGGGTTCAGGAGCACCAGGGTTTCGCCGTCTGTCTGCTTCAGTGTCGTCTGCTGTAGATGGCTTAGGTGTGAGTCACCTGCCACCTGAGCACCTGGGTTTGCTTGAAGGAAAGGGGCATTAGGTGCTATTTCCTGCCTAATGTCATCACTGGCAGTAGCCACTGCTCCGTGAGGTCTGTGAGTCCCAGGCATGCGAGTATCTGTGTGTGTACATGTGGGTATGCGTGTGCACACACACACGGGCCATGCATGAAACATAACCTAAACCATGGCCTCTTCAAAGCTGCATCGGAAGGTGCAGTTTGAACAACAGCCATTTGCCTATTTTTAGAACAGATGCCTCATCACCAGTGAACCCATCCCAACATTTGCAGTCAAGGCCCTAGAGGAGTGAAATCAGGTTTCCTCTTGTAAATGTCAGACAGCCTTAGGGCTTCACTGACAGGAGCAATATATGCAGAAAGGTGGCAACTGCTCTGGCTTGGGCTCGCCTGAAAGCGAAAATAAGCTTTCATTTCAGGGATGAGCATTTCATCTGAAAAGCAGGGGCGAGCCTGCTTCACTGGGCCGGGATCAGCCTACCTTGACAGAGCCAGGCAGCGGTCACCAGCTCACACATACTTTTGAACCAAGGGAAGCTTGGTTCTTAAGAGAGAACTGAAAATAATGAACAGAACCATTGACTCTTCTTACCTCATTTTAGAGGTTATGAAATTAATATTTCTGAAATTGGGAATTTTTGAAGTCAGCAATTTTCAGTGTCACTTTAAAATACAAATGTGAGACCTTAAGCATCATCCCAAACAGTTATTTCTACAAAGGCCATAGTAACACCTGTCCACATATTGTCACCAGGTCTCAGGAGAACTGGGTGAGGAAATGCTTCCCGCACCAGGCACTGCACCCGTCTCCACGGCGACGTCTGGAGTACACAGCACACAAAACCAGTGGCACACGGACTGCCTTCTTGACTTCAGTCAGTGACAATTTAAAATGATATTTATATTAACAAACAGGCATATTTTAAAGTCAACTTTAAAGTTTTACATGATTTTTGAGGCGAAGTACCAGACCTTAAACAACGATTGCAAGTATAAAGGGCAATTTAAATTCTATTCCCTGATTCCATCACGCAGGAGTCACTGGCAGTGGCCACACCCAGCTGTATACCTGCCAGCACTTGGTGTAACTAAAACACAATGAAAACGTGAAGTGTTTCTGTTATGTTTACTCACATGTGGTTTATAATTCAGTCCTTATGAAACTTGCCTTTTCCTGTTCCCTGTTCCCTTTCCTCTTAGTGTTCTTGCACTCCCTCCTCACTGTCTCACCTGTCGCTCAGGGCCACCCAGTGTTTGCCTTGGTCTCCGCCTAGGAGAGTGTTCTACTCTGGAGTCTTTGGGAGACCCTTCTTCTCGCTTGCGGGGTGCTCCCTCCCCTTAGCAATGCTCATTGTTTTCCAAAGGAGGCAAATGGACTGTGGCCGTCTGCATTAGCAGATGTTGTAAGTTTACGTCTTACTTCACACAGATATACTTGACTTTTAGCAGTTTCCCTGGCACCATCTAATAATTGGAATATCTGTCTCGGTGGCTACCTGGGGCAAAGACCATTTTAGAATGTGGGGTCTTCTTTGTAGGCACAAGGCCAGCCTTTGGAAAGCTCTAGACCGTGGACCCTGAAACCCACGTTTCTATATCCTGACAGAGATGTTACCATTTAAAACCATACTCTTGCATGAGTTTTGGAAAAGTCACTCTTACCTGGTACCAGGTCACCTTTGGACTCTGTGGGTCTCTTTGGCAGCCGAGACTGGGGCAGTAAATAGAGGCAGTGCTACCAAGAAGAAGGTATTGCTTATGTGGTACTGAGCTCATGCAGGAGACGTTTGTCTTGGGCTTAACTTCTAAGACCATCTTAACACAACAGGCCTCTTCCTTGGGGCTCCTAGGATAGTCAACAAGGTCCTGTGAACATAGATATTGTATACGGGTAATATAGGATTTGGGAATGTTTTCAGATAAGAATTGCATTTGGGACATACCTAATCCTGGGTGTACAAATATATGACCCAGCACTGTTCATCTCCATGGTCAAAAAATGCAGAGTAATCTTGTCCAGGGTGATGTGAGAATCGTTTTTAGTAATTTCCCTTAATGCACCTCCGTTCTGAGGTTGTAGGTACCACTGGACATCAGATAGGTCCTTACTACCACTGCAGGGCAGGTGTTCAGGGCCTTGGGTTGGTGAGAGCGGATTTCTGTGGTAGAAATGGGATCTCTGTGGCTCTGGTAAGTCACAAAATAACACAAACTGCTCCTCACTCTTTGCAGAATACATCCAAAGAAATTTTTTGGTGGAGCAACCTGAAAACCACAATAAACAAAGCAACACAGAAATGCATTAGAAGGTGAAACCCTGACTTATACTTACAAAGAGGGGCTGCATGCATTTGCACTGCACGGGCCCGTTTTGTAGGAAAAGGGAAGTGCCCCTCCTAGCGTGGTCCCAGGGCCCCAGCGCCGGCGGTGGCAGAGGCCGCGGGGAAGGCGCCCGCTCCCCCGCCCCTGGGCTCCCCCTGGGGGGCGGTCCCCCGGCTTGGAACCAGCTGGAGGCTGCCCGCCCCCCGCCCCGTCGCCTCTCCCCGCGCCCATCGCCAGTCATGCGTCAGCTACTGAGCTGTCAAATTATCTGTCACTTTAAACTGTGACCGCAAGCTCACAGTGTTGACATGAAAAGCGAAAACCCTACCTGAGACGTTAAATCCTTTAGCTCTCCCGCCTGTGACAAGCCAAAGAAACATCCATCCCAAATAGAGCATTGCTCTGCCTGGCTCCTGTCATCCCGCCACAGCCAGGGCGGCGCTGCCCGACGGGCCTCTTCCTTTCTGTGACTGAGGTGCGGAGTGAAATCGGAACTTGTGACCAAAGTCCCACAGGAAGCTCTGACGGGCAGGCCCGTCACACAGCAGCCTCTGCGGGGCCCCTCGCACGTCTGGGGGCGGCGGGACGCGGGGCGCCCACGGTGGCCTGGAGCTGCGCCCTGCCCTGTGCCCTGGGCTCCATCTCCTCACGGAACTCTCCTTGCCACGCTCTCACCCGGCATGTCCACGCCCATGAGTAATTTGGAAAGAGTTAAGTGAAATATCTCCTGGGGAAAGGAGAAAACAGGCTCAAGTTGAATGAAAATGTTAGATTCCCCACGCTCAGGGCAGCCGGCGGCCTGCCCGTGGGTGTGTGTCGGAGGCTCTCCGCTCGCTACTAGTTTGTAATAACTGAGGGAACAGAGGCTGCTTGACTCTCCGTGCCTCACCTACAAAGAAAACACTGTTGCTGGATGGCATTCCTACCAATCCTCTGAACATGGGGTGAGCAGGGCCCCGAGAGAGAGTGAGACCCTGCGCTGTGTTCCCGGTGGTTTTGTCCCTTGCTGGTGCGGTGGTCCTGGAATTTTCAAATCATTTACAGGACATGAGAGAGAAAGATGCCGGGAGGGGGTCCTAACAGAATACCAAAGACTGGCTGGTTTATGAACAAGAGGAATTTATTTCTCACAGTTCGAGAAGCTGGGTAGTCGGTCCAAAATCAAGGCAGCCGCATGATTAGTCCTGGTTCATAGCCAGTGCTTTCTCAGGGTGACCTCGCTCTGTGGAAGGCGTTAGAGATCTCTCTGGAGTCCCCTTTATAACTCGAATCCCATTCATGGAGGCTCCACCCTTATTATCTAAGCACCTCCCCAAGGCCCCACCTCTGATACCCTCACTAGGGGATCATCTTGGAGGGTTAGGATTTCGACATATAAATCTGGAGGTTGGGGGAACACAAACATTCAGATCACAGTGGTGGGGAATACTAGATTATTATTTAATTTTATTTTGAGCAGGAAAATAAAAGTGATTTTCCTATAGAACAGTTTTGCCTCTGCCTCTGAGAGTTCTGACTTTTATCACTAACATAAAAATAACCTGTATGTGATTCTTGAGGTTACAGAAATGAGGTAATTTAACCCCTGAACCGTAGCTAAAACTTTCTTCTAAAACTCTTCCCTACTGTTTTAGACAATTTGAGGAGGGAAGAACAGCATAAAAATGGTACAGCCCCTGTTCTCAGGGTCTGACACAGTGTGGAGACCAATGTTAAAGAAAAAATTGTTTTGACATTGATTTGAGCGGCAAGGAAGACTTTGTTCAAGACTAGTGCAGTAGGGGAGAGAGACCAAGCTCAGCTCAGAACACAAGGACGGGCGAGGGCTTACAGCCCAGGAGCAGGCGAGGAAATCGGGATGGGAAATTGCCAAGAATCGCCAAGGGCTGGGGAGCTCTTATTAAACTGACCTAACCAGATTCTTTCTGAAGAGAGTTTAAGGACTGAGAAACAAGGGTGGGAGAAGAGAGGCTCCATCCATATCAAGGTGGCTGATCGAATATCAGGGAGGGGAGGGTGACTTAGCAGGAATCTTTGTTGAAACTGGGCTGGGCCACCAAAGGCAGACCTGGGGCCAAAGCCCAGCCTCTAAAGTGTGGTCAAGGAGAGAGCCTTTGTCAACACGAACATGCAAATAAACAATTCCAGGAAAATGAAATAAACAAATGTAGTGATAACAGGAAAAAAGATAGGGAGGGAAGAAAAAAACGGAAGGAGGGGCAGGAAGAAAACAACTTAGACCAAATACTGCAAGGCCACCCTGAGAGTTCCCTTAAAAATCCCCCCCCATCTCTGATTTTTAGGAAGCAAACAGAATCATCTCTCTCTACCCACATCTAACCAGCCCTGCAAGTCCTCTTGTCACTCACTGGCCATTCCTGCAACCACTCCCTCCACCCACGACTTTCCCAGGACCTTTCCTTCCAAGTACCTCCGTCTTTCCTCATAAAGAAACACCTGGCTTTTCTCATCTTATAAAATTCTTCATTTTTAACCATTTTCCAACACACATACACATCATGTCTCCAACATCTTCAGATGTGGGAGGAGCAGGGAACAACTTTAATATTTATAAATTAGTTATCAATAATTAATGCTCCTTTAGCAGACACAGTGAGCTTGAGGTGTCTTTGGGGTCCAACTGCAGCCGTCCAACGACAGCAGGGTGGGACTCAGAGAGGAGTCTGGGGGTCAGCAGCATGGGGGGCGAGAGGTGTCAGGCCAGAGAAGTCTGTGAGCTGCCAGGAAAAAGCAGATAGACTTCCCTGAGGAAGACCAGCCTGGAAGGGTGGGTCAGGGCCAAGAAAAAATTAAAAAGAATGTACTCAAAGGGAGAAAATAAAAAACAGAACACAGAGAGCACCCCGACACCACCACAGAGAAAGTTTGTGGGGAAAGGCTAGATGTCAACGTCAGAAGCTGTAGAGCAATCGGGCACAAAAAAGCCTGCGAGTGTCCATCGTGAGTGGCCGGCAGTGGGTCAGGGGAGTGTGCACAGGGTGGGGGTGAGGCGAGGGAGAGCTGTGCTGGGGGGAGGGGGAGGGAACATAGGTGGGGAGCGGGGACAAGCCACACCGTCCACAAGCTGCACCCTTCAGGGAAGGCGGTGGCGTTTGCTCCTTTGTTGGCAAAGGGAGGCTTTACCACGACCCCACGGTGAGGGACAGGCAGGCGGCAGGTCAGAGAGGAGCGGGAGTGATTTCTCTGGGGAGGCAGGAAGGGACCCAGCCCGAAAGCCACAAGCGTTATCTTGGGCAGGAGGTGGGCAGGGCCAGGCGTGGGCAGGCCCATCCAGACCAGCTTTGTGGGGTGGGAGCAGGAGTACGGGGCCTCCGCCCGGCCATGAAGGTGGTCAGGAAAGGGCAGGAGAAAGCAAGTGCCTTTCGAGATGTGGCCTGCCCCTCGCCTTCCTTTCCTTTGTCCACAAAGCCCCTGAACAAATAATCCGCCCATCTCCAGCCTCTGGAGGCATCTTCCTGAGAGCGAGCCTGAGGCTGTCCTCTCCTGACACTAAGCGTCAGCCCACTGCCTGTGAGACAAGAACCAGTTCCCAAGCGCCCTCAGTAAAACTCTGAGTGACCCGGTTCGGCTCTCGCGTCTTCCCTGGGTTTCTCCCCCAGAAGACCTTCCCGGACCCCTCCCCGCATAATGACCCCCAGCCCTCCCTCCCGACTACCACGCCTGCCAGCAGTCATCCCTCAGGTTACTCACTGACGTGACCGTGTCCTGTTGGACTCCTGCTCTCTCAGTCACTCTCGGGGACATACTATTGTCCTTCTGTTTTATTGGTGGACAATTAAAACTCACCTTGCTTGCAACAGTGGTCCCCACTATTAATGGGTAAGTATTAGGAGAGGAATTTGTGTACAGATGTAGAGTCTCAAAGACCCTGGTTGTCCCATTACAGCCTGCGGCCGCCTCACAGAGGTGAGAGCCCGTCACCGTGACTTGCAGTGTCCGAAGGGTCTCTTGGGTCTCTTCTTCAAAACATTTGCATAGTTCTTTTGAGGGCTGTCTTTCTCCTGTCAGGTGAGGCTCAGTCCTCAGTTGGTCAAGGCTACAATTCAACTATCTTTGCTAAGACTCTCACTGACCGAAGCTCTGGCGGAAAGAAGGACATGCTGGAGAAGGCAGGTGTCAAATTTGCGAACATCTTGAGTCCCTTTCCCACAAAATGCTCAAAGTACTATAAATAGGTTTATGTACGGCCACCAGATTTTTGTAAACTGAAGTCTCCAGATACATAGAGATGTAAATTTTGCCAGTTAGATAGTCCATCTAGTATTACAAACTATCTTTTGAGAAGGAATTGTGTTAACAATTCATTTTGAAAATTATCTGACCTCTTTTCTACCTTGTTAGCAATTCAGATTGAAACTTGCTTAAGCTCTTCTCCCAGCTTACGCTGTCCGCTTAGGAAATCTAGTGAAAAAAGGTGCTATTGCCTTACCTTTGTTTCCTGTTCTTAAGACATAAAAAAAGAGGAAGGAACTTCCAGTCACTTCAGTGCCTGCCGGCGTTTCTCTCTGAAGATCATGTGAGAAGATCCATTTTCAAAGAGTTCCACTGTGTCTCTTCCCGGCCAGAGAACAGCTGGAGGAGACGACAGCAGCTTCTCTCTTACAGGTTTGGAAATACACCTGGAGACAAAGAAAACCGTAGTACTTTGTAAGTGACCACTGACATTGCCAAATCCGCGGTCACATGGGGGAAAATAAAGAACTACCTCTGTCAGTCAAAGGAAATGCCCGAAGACGAAGCACTTAGGCTCTTTGACACCCCCTCAACAATACCAGGTTTGCGGTGAGGTTTAGTTGAAACCGGAGTGAGCCTATTTCCTTTACAGGAATTTCCTGTAGACTATTAGCACTCAACTTCTCAACTGTGGGTTTTTTTTTGTCTCGTACAACTAACCCTCAAAAGAGTAACCTGGAAAATATAAGCTAACCTTTTCTTGTGATTAGGACATAATCTAAAATCACCAAGTTGGTTTTGATTTTTACCTATATATTAAGAGAAGTCTTCAAAACATAACATAGAATGAAAGACACCACTGTTATTATTATTATTGTTTTTTAATCCTCACCCAAGGATATTTTTTCCATTGCTCTTCAGGGAGAGTGGAAGGGGGAGAGAAAGAGACAGAGAGAGAGAAGCATCGATGCAGGACAGACACATGGATTGGTTGCCTCTTGCACGTGCCCCAACCGAGCCGGGGACGAGCCTGCCACTGAGGCATATGCCCTTGGCTAAAGTCGAACCTAGGACCCTTCCGTCCACAGGCTTACATCCTAACAACTGAGTCAGACTGGCTAGGGCAAGTACACCACTGTTCTTTGGTAGAACAACTAAAATCATTTAATGGAGCCCCTCCAACACTCTGAGACCACAATGGTCA